GCCCGCCGTTACAGGGGCGGCTACTATGTCAGGGGGATGACCGTTCTGTCAAGCCGCACTCCGAGGACAGAGCTGGCACCTCGCAGCTGGGGTTGGCACCATGGGGCTGTTCAGCCTACAGAGGCTGGAGGAGCAAGACTTAGAAGATCCCTCCTCCCACAACAAGCAGCAAAGATCCATTTAGACACGCTAACACGCCTCCAAGAGTAACAAAGGGGAAAAAAAATACCATGTTCTTTTGGAGCAGGCATAACTCCCTGTGAGTCTTAGCCAATAACACGAGCTTGCAGGACTTCCAGACTCGCAGGACCAGCAGCCAATTCTCCTGACCAAGTGAAAGTACGCGTATGCAGGAAACTACTTCCACAGGACAGTAAATTCAAAACATCATGATTTTCTGCACAACTCAGCCGCGTAGCAAAAGCGGGTGTCCTGCAGAGCACATCCACAGCTATGATGGCTTCTGTTCACCGGAGCACAAAATTAGCTCGGTTGAAGCTCTGAAACTCACCTGCCTCCTGCTTTTGGCCCCAACCTGTTACCCAGCACCTGTCACCACTGTGGACTTTGTGGGAAAAGGGGGGCACGCAGATGGGCTGGATGGCATGGCTCATTGTGTCCGGCCACGGCTTGCTCAGCTGCAGCAGCGCGATGTCGTAGTCGTAGTTCCTGCTGTTGTAGTATTCGTGGGTGATGATCCGCCTCACTGCAGACACAAACTTCGCATGGCCTTGTGTTCGCATCCCCAGGTGAGCACGCCACGCTCTGGGGTCAGCCAGCCTGGTCAGGAGCAAACAAGCAAGCCATCTCTGCAAAAAGTATCCCAAAAGAGCCCCCGACAGCCAGGGGGGCAAAAGACATGGGCACTTCCTGCCCCACTGTGGTTCAAACTCTGGAAGCTAAAGGTGTTTGGGGACGCTGGCGATGTTTGGGACAGGGTTAGAGGGAAGATCACTTACTTGCTGCCTTGAAAGCAGTGAGCTGCAGACACAAGCCACTCTTTCGATATCACCGATGCCCCGCAGTAAGCAGCTCCCACAAAATGGAGGCTGACCTGCCAGGGCCATTCACCTTCCTCAGTGTTCGTACCACCTACAATCCGAGAGATAAGACTGCTGCTCTTGCTGCTGCCACAACCTGCAAGGGACATTTCAGGTCAAAATCTCCATCCCCAGTGCTTTCTTTAAGACAAGTACTTCCCACATAGAGCATGAAAGAATCCTGCACTTTGAAACATTTTGAAATCTATTTCCTTGTCCTGCTCTAATTGGAAAACTTGTCTATTTGGCTACTCTATTCCTGAAATAAGAGGTGACTCAAAAAAAAAAAAAAAAAAACACTGTCCTGGGAAATTTAGTAAGTTTCTTTTCTAGCTCTGCTGCAGAAATTGGCCTTTAAATATTTGTTGTGTCAGAACTGCCAAAGGATCCATTGATTTATTAAGCATCAAAATGAACATATAAAAATAGACAATCCCTCCTCTCTTTTTAATACTGTCAACCCTGAACTGAAAGGGGTCTGTCGGGAAGGAAGGAAGTTCAGCATTATCAGGAAACTTATTTCTTGCCAAAACATTGGGAATAACACAAGAAAAATGTTCTCAGTGGCAGCCACATACGTGGAGTTTGATCATTTATTATTTCAGAAATTAGGTGGTTGAATCATTAATTTGCACAGAAATAACTAAAAGTCTGAAAATGTATATTACTAACTCACAGATGAAGAAGTCATTATTCAGCACGAAAAGCTGCACACTGTAATTTGAAGAGCAAGGGAGAAAGACCTCTCTGTAGGGCCTCGTGTCCATCCCTAGTGCATGCACATAAAGCCTCTGCTCAGGAGTTTTAGTCCCACATGCCCACACACAGGTGTCAACACTTTGCAGCACTCAGCCAAAGAGCCAAAAGCAGCCTTAGTGTTTCCAAACACCAGTAGGTGTATAGCTAGTCTTTTAATGTGTCCTGTTGGATCCAAGGCAGGTGCTGGCAGATTTGACATACAGGTAGCATGCTAGAAGCAGCTGGGGGCCAGAGAAAATACCTGAGAATATTCAGTTTAAGCAACTAATCCTAACCCCACTTTTATTGTTAAATCACCTGTTCACTTTACAGCAAAACGAACTGAAAAGCTTGTATAGAGGTTACTTTAAGAAGACTTGACACTAGAACCTAACTTGACACTATGAAATATTGGAGTCATCACCATCCGGAAGAGACAGATAAAAGGAAAGTTTGTGGGTTTTTTATCTCATTGCAGCTGTGTCACTTCTGAAGTCCGAATACAGTCTGACTCCAACAGAACTACCTGACACAGCTGCAGGCAACAAAAATGCTGCCTTACCAGCTAGCCAAGTTCACTCTGCAATTAATCCTGCTTCCCCACTCCTTAACATAGCTACAATAAGCATTACAGCTAAGACTCCCCATAACAGTAAGCTGCTCTCCCACAAGAACTTAGGAAGTTCTGCAACCAGACCTGAAGTAAACTGATAGCTGATCATTACCCCTTTATCACTGAGAGTATGCAATAAAATCTCAATATCCACTGCACGAGTTGTACCCTCTCCAAAACAGGAAGAAATAAAGGGCTTTATTGTGTAAAAAGTTCAAAGTTCAAAAAGATGAACATCTGAGAGGGACTTACTGCAGCTGCTTTCGTCACTTCCATCAATACAGTCCACAGTCCCATCACACTTTGCATTTTGTTTCCTAATGCAAATGTTATTTCTGCACTTAAACGTGTGGTTGGTGCAAGGAATACCTGAAATCGTTGTGGGGAAAAAGAAAAAAAAGAAACACTGTTGGATCATCTTAACACTTGAAGACATGTCTGCACAGATAAAAGATTCATCCATACATCAATAGATAGGAAGGAACATAGCAAAAGATTGTTTTGGCTGGGGTGGCTTAAAGCAATCTACGAGTAGCATAAACTATTCAAGTAGAACTGCATCTGTATTAAGGCTTGCACCAAGCTGGCTAAATCTTTGAATAAGGACTTCCTCCTGTCCTTTCCCATAGCACTAATGAACACAGATACAGTAGAAAAAATTTAACTGTTGAGCAAGTATTAAGCTAGAAAGAAAAAAAATCCAGCAGTCCGGAAAGAAGCCTTCCTTTATATTTCAGTATTAAATATAAAATGAAACATAGCAGTGAAATCAGTCCTATTAATTGCATTCAGTTAAACTGCAACCCCAGCCTTGGCATTTTCCTGTTTCCCTGTGGCTTGCAATCAATGAGACCGCTCAAACCCAAACTATTTTTCTTCTCGACATACAGAAGTATCCTGAATCCTTTTACACATCTAGTCAAACAGGTGAAAAATCATTACTTTTCTTTTAAAATGTTACTTGCAGCACTTTCCAGTTGTGCTCCCTTTCATATGTCATGGTGTCCATTTATTCTAAGAAGTTGAAGAAATGGCTGACTCAAAAATTTCCTGTGTCCAATGCTAAATTTATAGCTTCCATAGCATTTTGAACACATTAACCTTGTAACCCTGAAAATTGCTCCAGAGAAACTATAATTTTTATAGTTATTTCACAGATGGTATAACAGATCCAGGAAATAATTTGCACAAATTATGGTTTAAAGAGATAAAATCTGGGATTCAAGGTTTAAATCCCTAGATCCCCATCCTGCGCCCAGAGTACTTAATTCTTCCACCAGTGTTTTGCTGAAACAGATGTTCATGAGCTGACTGAAAAGAAACAGTTTAAAATTAAGAACAGCTTATTTATAAGCATATCAGAAAACAGAACAGGATTATATAGCCTGAGTTAGATTTGATAGTGCCTCTTAACTCTTTGAATACTGCATCAAGTATTCAAGTCAGGATTGTATAGATGATAGAAGAGAGGAAAAAAATAATCAAGAGAGTATGCTTACTGTGGGTGCAGTTCTGCTCATCTTTTCCATTCTCACAATCGCTTACTCCATTGCAGGCAAGCAGATTATCCTGCATTGCGAAGCTGGAGTTACAGTTCCACTCAGGGACAACTTTAAAAACAGAGGCCAAATCAACTACAGAAACATGCTTGTAACACTTACACTACCCTTCTGACTACACCTGGGTACCACTTTCATACTTTCACCACACAGTACACAAGGATGAGCATGAGTGCCGCATTATGAAGGGAGAAAATAAAGCACAAAGGAGTTCGGTGACATATCCCAGCTCACACATTGCCCCAGGTGGAGTGGCCCAAGTTCTAACCCTCTTTCACCATGGACAATTATTAGCCCCCTCACCTACTCTATGCAGCCTAATTTGTCATTCTCCCACAAAAACAACTCATCTCAAAACAGACCAGAACTTTATCATTACCAGCATTTCTCACATGAGTTAAAACCAGAATATAACCTATTACAGCTATTTTTACACATCTAACTTTATTCCTTGTGCTTTCCAGTGCCATGCTTTCTTCATTCTTAGTTTTGTCTCTTGCTAATTAACTAGGAATTAAGCACTCATGAGACTGACTGATAGTCTGTACCTGGACATACAAAGGAAGTTGGAAACACATTGGGTTTTAAGGTCTTTAGTAAGTGAATACAAACCACAAAAGAGTTCATCACTTTCATCAAAGCAATTGTTAATCCCATCACAGCGCTGCATCTGCTGGATGCACAAGCCAGTAGAACACTTGAAATGTCCAGGTGGACAAGCTGGAGGAAAAAAAATTCAAAAAAAGACCAACAACTTCAAAGTTTCTTCTTCCCAAATTTTGCCTGCTCATTTCAATTCACAGTCACTAAGCTGTTCTAAAGAATGATAAAGTTGATCTAAACTTCATAGTCTGTGTGCATTGCCAGCACTCAAATTGAGTTCAGATGTTGAAAACTGGGATATAAAAAAAGAAGAAAAAGCACCATTAAAGTTCCAATCCAGCTGTTACTGCAATATATACTGCAGGCTCTGCACTAGGACTGGACCAAATGTGCTTTATGGAGCAACACAAGACATCTTAGAATGTCATCATCTTCTAAAGGAGAGTCTCACTTCCAGTAACCAAAATTTGAAGTACTTTGCAACTTTGGTCAGTTACCTGTATTGAGGTGACTTATGAATTACACAAATGTATGCCTTTTGAAACAGAATCATGAAGTTGCCATCTTTTTAAATACTCCAAATATATGCAATGCATAAAATTTCTCCAATGTGACTAGTAAATATGTGTAGAAACCATTGCTTTTCTCCTCCTTTAACAACATGAATACATAAGGTTAACACAGGGGAAAAAGTACCAATAAACAGTTGTCTGCCTCAGAACTTGAACAAGCTCACAGTCCTGGACTGTTTTTTCAACTTTCTGAGGTGTTTTTCAGCTCAGATTTCTACTTGCACACAAAGTATTTCAATTGATGGAAACACTGGAATAGGCACTTGGTTATTTGGTACTCTCTGTTCATTGCCTGGAAGTCTTTGCAGTAATAGAGACATTGCAAACAAAACCTTGGGGGTGAAAACCATCACGAATAGCAGACTTCAGCTGACTGCACTGTGATCATAGCCATGCAGGAAGCTTTAAGGCCTGTGCAGAAGAACAGACTGTGTGCGTACGGGAAATCAAAGCATGCTGCACAGGCCCACCAACCTTAGCTGCACAGCCTCGCTGAGTTGGAAAAGGCTGTTTGTTTGATAGTTACCTGACTCAGTAAGATTAGAAATGAAAATAAACAAAAAGCCAACAGAGAATTTCCTGCACAAACTTAATTATATCCTACTGGACCTGTACAGTGCTGCTTCACAGGTCTGAACTGCAAAGATGGGGTGAAAAAGATAAAATCCATCTTACGCTGGCTGATGTTATAGCTGCCATACTCCACCAGAATTGGCTTCTCTGAGACCTCCGAACTGCACTGAAGCTCAATGTTGACAGCAGAACTTGCAATGTGGAAGACTGTTTGGTGATCAACATAGTAACCGCAGTACCTAAAAGTGTTCAATGTAGTTCTAGAGCAGCCTTCACATCAAAATTGCGTTACATGCATTTTAAATGTCAACTTCACTGAAATTCAGCACTACAGTCAGCTGCTGTACTTTAATTAAGAACAAAAATCTGAAACAGTATCCTTATTCCCCAAAATGCTAGTCATAAACTTTCACGTCCACACACATGCATGCAGAATGTCTTGCCAAAAAGTCTAGAGCAACAGAGATGTAACAAAGAAATTTGTCAAGACAAACATGGATACTTTTGTCAGCACTCCTGATACCTGTTTTCAAAAGATTCAGATTTTTGTGAAGACTTAAGTAAATTGGGTGGGAGGAGAAACGTCAGCACAGTGCAAAGCACCTAAAGAAGATTGCACCTGAAGAAGAGTGCACAAAGGCATTGGGATAAAATTGGTCCAACTACTTTGGAGGCAGAGAGAAGTATATTCAGGGAAACTGAAAATATTTCTAAGTAGTCACCCAGCCTTCATCCATCATTAACATTCTGGAAGTTTACCTTTGAAAATCATATCTTCAAGTAACTAATCTAGATGAAAAAAATCCTTTAGGTGCGCATCTACTTTAAGCTGCCATTTTGGCAGAGAGCTTCCATGGACTTCTGCCTAGGTGCCACTTAACTCAGAGAAACCTAAATGCTCCCTGATGCTAGTAAGCATTTAATCCGACCATTGCCAATGCATTTCTACCGCCTCTTTCATCAAAGATGCCAAGGATGCTGCAACTGGTGTTCAGACGCTACTCTAGCTGAAATCAGAACCAAAAAGACTCTTTAACAGGAAAAGGTTGCTGTATCATGCTTTAAAAATTGGAGACAGTTTTAAATGTAGTAAACCAGTGAACACCAACCATACAGGTTGTTCTGGAAGTAGAAATAAGGACCCTCTCCTCTGTTCCACTAAAACACCCTGAAAATGCAGCACTTATAAGAAAAACGTCTGGCTTTAAGACACCTGTCAAGAAAAGTACTTATCAGACTAAATAGATCTAAGAGCAGAAGGAGCTGTATTGGTTCTTAGCACACTTGGCGTGCACGCTTGCTTGACAGCAGTGCAAGGTCACATAATGCTGTTAGTATGAACTCAAAGAACATGAAAATGGATAATTGTATTGTTAAATGGACTATTATCCAGAGGTAAATATTCCCCTTCTTTATTTTGGCAGCTCCGGGTGTTGGACCAGGACTACTCTGCATGTCAATGAATGCAGGGAAATTGGTCAGTGATTTCCATGTGGATAGATGTTGCCTGGTGTCCTGTGCACCACACTGAAGAATGCCACAGGGAATGGCCACGTTCATTCATATGTTTCCATGTGTACTTTGTTCCACCCTACGAATATGAAACATCCTTTTAATAGATCTAGGAGGTTCTGTTCCAGCAATGCAAAAAATACATGAACAAAACAGTTCAAAAAATAGACTCCTCTTACACATCCTGGAAACAGATGCAAAGTAGAGAGTTAATTTAACAGCTTTCTGGTATAGTAAAGTTAACTGTCAGGAAAAAAAAAGTCTATCAGAGCTAAGAGTGAAGACTTCTTGCTACAAGAAATCTTAATCTCATTCACATTAGTGTCTCTGTCATCAATGTTCCGAACCTAAAACTGCCTGCCACAGTGCATAGCAAAAGGACACCTAACCATCTGATTCCCCTCCATTAGCCCACAGACGTTTTCTACATTTCTCCTTCTGTCAAACACTTAGACAACTTCCCTCCAACAAACCTTGGCACCATTAAAAACAATTGCAGGCTGCATTGACTGCTTCGCAGCCACATAAATCAACCTCATCTCACCAGAAGTAGAGAAAGTTCCTGCCCATCTGTAGAAGAGCTAAGACAGCAATATCAAGGAAGCTATCTCTTCTATGCAGTGAGAAAAGTCACATGCTTGAGGGATTGGTAAGACAGAGCTACAGATCGTTGAGAGCCTTCTACTGGTGTTTTACTAGCCATTTCTCCAGGTCCAGGGCAAATGGAGCCTGCAAGGCACCATCTGTAACTCTGTGCCATTGCTAGAGAGAAACTAATTAAGGGGATCCTGTGCCATATGTTGAAGCAGGGAGTGGGATACCTTTTCAAGGGATGAGTAGGTACATAAATCCTGTAGCAGAGACAACGGGATGTTGCACCAACACTGATAACCTCTTTGTTCACATTACATAAACCTCTAACGATTTGCTCATAGAGACTCGCTGATATTTCTGCCCATGAGAACTTCAGCAAAAGCAGTTCATCAGCTGTAACCCCTCTGACTAGACAGAGGAACATTTGCCTGTCCACTGGAAGAAAGACAGGAAGAACTTCATGGTTGCATTCAGTGCCTCTTGTTAAAGTTGTCCCTAGAGGTTTGAAAGAACCTTAGCTGTACCATCTTCATGGTAGCAGTCTTTATTTACCAAAATCAGTCTCCTGCAGCTTCTTAACCCTTTTTAGCAAAGATAGCAGAATATGCATGCTATAAGCCACAATTGCAGGAAGTTGAAAAGGTGGAGTTCCCTCTCCCCAGTTTCATTAACCATTAAAATTTGGAGGGGGGGGGGGAATCAAATATCAAAATGTTTCATGCTTTAAATCATATTTTTTTGCCATGGAAAGTAGACAAAGAACAGAAAATCACAGAGGCTCAAAAGCCTTATCTTCAGTGAAAAAGACACTTTCAGAGGGAAACTTGTCTTGGTCTACTTATATAATGAGCAACTTGCAACAGAAATCAGAAGGACGGGTTCTTGTGTAGTACTTCAAAAGTAACCCCGAGTGCACTTCTAGTGGTCATGCTCTGACATTTTATTCTGTTGAATGTATAATTGGTAGGCTTATTTAAAAGTTGCTCTCTCATATAAAGAACCCTTACAATATGAACCCACCCTCAGCTTTTTCTCCAGATTTTGTCTTTATTTGTTTTATATCTCAGCCATCCCTAATATCTCAAATCTTTCCAACTGCATCATAAGAAGAACACCAAAAACCCCACAAACACACCCAAAGTTGTTTGTTTTGACTGGTGTTTTTATGTGCCCATCTACTCCAGCAACCAAATCCCATCAAGGCACAATTTCAGGAGTCTTGGACAAACTGAATTTTCTCTGTGTAAGTACAAGATAGTATGAAAGAATAGAGAAAGTTTTTTCTCCTCTCTGTTATTCTTTCAGTTACATTCTTAAAGGCCTGACTGACTTCGCTTAGTTTCAGTAGTGAGTTCAGAAATTCAGTTTCAAGTCTGGTGTTACTGAGGTTTCCATCTGAACAAAGCTTAAAAAAAAAATTTCCAATGTCCTAAATCTGGCCTTGCTTCATCATTCAATGATTGAAAGATGACTTAAACAAAAATCAAAGAAAAAATGGGTGGACAACGTGCATAGGAAAGCAGTAGTATTTTAATAAAAAACACTTAAGAAATACAGTAGTACCTTGGCAGTCAAACCGTGCGGTTTCTCTTTCAAGAGCCAGTGACTGGAATGTGGAAGGATTTACTCTCCTATTCCCAATAATCTCATTGTAATAGCTTTCACTGAGAAGTTAATTGGGTTCAGTGTCCTCATGAGCAATCACAGAATCAAGTTACACTTAAAAGGGTTCTAACAGGCCTTGTTCAATGATCCCAGAAAACCCAGAATTATTTTAGGGTTCACAGGACATCCACCTTCACCCAACTCTTTCCATTTCCTTCTCTCCAGAAATACCAAAGGCTCTTGGTTTCACTTTTCCAGTGCTTTTCAATAAAAAAATTTATTTATATGTGTATATATTTTACAAAGATTCAATTACATCATCAACCAAAACAAACAAAAAAAATGGTAAGAGACACCAGTGAATTATCTCTGTCTCTGTGGAAACTCTCCAAGTGAGCTGCAGGGAAGGTTTTTTTTGGTAATGTTAATTTAATAACCCATGCAGAAGTACTTACATGTGTTCATTAATTTTCCACCATCCTCTCTCACAGCCTTTAATATTCTTCTCACTGATGGTATAGTTATGAAACTTCAGAGCTATACCAAGGCTCTTCTGTGGAGTCTGTTGGGAACGAGAAAGGCAGTACTAGTAGTGTTCATTTTCCTTTTGTGGGCATAGCCCATGAGAGTCTTTCAACTTATCTCAGTGATTACAGCGCTTGGCAATGCCGCGCTCTGGGAGCTATGCTGGCTTCACCAGCTCAACAGCCAGCACTCGAGACACCTGCCAGCTATTTGGTCTTGAGTTAAAGCAAAGGTTGGCAAAGCCCCACCACAGCTGCAGGCTTTTCCCCCCTCTAGCCAACAGTCCTTTCATCTTCAAAAAGCCATAGAAAGCAGCTTTTGTATCAAGATCAAAGCACTCAAACACATCCAAATTTACTTGTGTAGGGACACACAGCCCCAGAGGATTGTTAGCTAAGATACTACACTGAATATCTGTGTCACCCTTGTAATGCTAGGAGTTATTTCTACCACAATATTGTAGTCTTCTGCTAGCACCTGCTCCGCCAAGCATTCTTTAGCATTTTACAAAAGACTTTTAAGCCTGGCAGTATCACTAAGTTTCATAATTGATTACAATTTCCTTTATGAAAAGGAACAGAACCTTTTTGCAGTACAAGGTAACGCTCATTTAGAAACAAGGGCTCATTCAGGAAAAGAATCCAGAAATGTAGATATTTTCCTTCTCTTTTACAGAAAACACGATTTGGAAAATGAGGAAAGATTCAGCACTGAACTACTACTGGGAAACTAAACTCTTTTGAGAAACAAGTCTTGGGGGTTGCCCATGCTAAGTGCCAGAAACTTTTTCATCAGAAGTTCAGGGTGAATTGCAGATGTGAAGTTTAGCAAAAAAGTATTTGCCTTAGCTTTCTAGAAGAGGAAGAGGCTGTAGGTCATAGCTAGCTGGAATCCATTCAGATTGGTGTGATGCAACATGGGCAGCCAGTAGCTTAACCAGATACGAGTAGCATAAGCAGAAAGACGGGTAAACAGTGGACTGCATCATATCCACTGCCATATTCTTTAGAGGGGAAAACACTGAAGGGCAAACTGTAAATCAAAGATCATACGTTAGCAGTATCAACAGAGAAACACTAATGTCGTCAGACAAGGCACGACAAAACTATTTAAACTGATGTAAGCTTTTGGTCTTTTGCCTCCAGAAAAATACCTGAAAAGATGAAGAAAAAATATATAAAAAAAAACCAGTCTGTGTGATTGTGGTGATAGGACAGATCACCTTAGAATATAAAAATGCAATTTATTAACTATAACAAATAGAGTGAAAAGAGATATCAGAGAAGCGACAATAATATGCAGGTTAGAGGAGTCTTTTGTACATACTTTTTTCCCCATATTTTTAGGGGTGGGAAGAAAGGAATTAAAGCCAGTGAAGTTGTACGTTATCTGCCATGAAGTAAATCTGCAGGCTAAACTTCAACTCATCTCAGCTCTTCACCTTTATAATACCATGGATGATGTTCTCTTCATTAAGGATATGTGCACAGAAAAAAAACAAAAAACCTAGTGCAAAAAAACAGAGCACAGCCAGCTATTCCACTGTGTCATTTCTATAAAGTGCCCCATCTGTAAGGATGCAGGTTACTCCCTACACAGTTGTTTCTGCTATACTTACAGGTTCTGTGTGCCCAAAATACACAACAGTGCCTAAGAGAGAAAGAGATTCATGTTACCTGGAAGTTCCATGCACAAAGACATTTTGGAGGATAATAGCTTGGGTAGTAGGGACTTGTTATTCTCCCTTCATAGCCAGTTTTCTCTTTTGTCACTATTGCTTTTCCCCACCCTGCCAGGGGGGGAGGGGGGAGAGGGAAAAAAAAAAAAAGCAGCAAAAGTTGGTAAAGCCCAGCAAAGCTATTCCGTGGACTAAGTATCCAAATTTATCAGAAGTCTTCCACTCTTCCACTGCAAAACAGGGCAGCTCAGGAATTACATTTGTCTGGGTTCAAGTAGTAAAAAGATACCCTTCCCAATGAGGCAGACAGTCAAGGGATGTAAAAGTCTAGGAATGTTTGCTGGGCTCTGTGGGACCAGAAGAAAAAACATTGTGAGATTTTATATCGGTTATGTCACCAAAGGCAGTTCTGCAAATGAGTCTTAGTGAACTGTGTTGCACATCAATACATCCACTCTGCAGTGGCAGATGTGGATCTCTAATCATAAAATGCGGCCAGTGAGAAGAGAAATGTGCTAATCTAATTAGCCTTTGGGAAGCTAAAACTTCCATTTATGACTACTCAATGGATTTAGAGAATTCATTAAAAACAAAACACACACACACAAAAGCCAACACAGAAAACCCAGCCCTGAATTTAAACCAACCAAACAAACAAAAATAGCTGCCCTGAATTAAAAGTTATTTATGATGGAGAATTCGTCACATGCATTTATGATGGCATTTTAGTGCTTAAATATTCTCAACGTGGAAAGTATGCAGCATCTTTCTGAGCAGCTTGAATTTCCTTGCATTTGATTGTGTTAGATTTTTCTCCTTGTGCTGTTAGCATGAGGTTCCTTCTACTATTTGTGATTATGATCTAACAACTACTTAAAGCTTAAAGGAACAAAAAGCAGATGATGGACTTGATGCAGAAACAAACAGAATCACAGAATCACAGAATCACAGAATGGTAGGGGTTGGAAGGGACCTCTGTGGGTCATCTAGTCCAGCCCCCCTGCCGAAGCAGGGTCACCTACAG